GGGGGGGGGGGAGAAGACAGTGGAAACAACTGTCATTTTATAACTGTCTTCCACAACTTATTTCATACCACAGATGTAAAATTTCTGTAAACAGCTGAACAACTCACACATTATCCAGTTCACAATGATAAACTTAACAAGTAGTATGTAGTCACAGAGAAGCATTTTTAAACAGTGTGCAAATGAAACTTATACTTGAAATCATTCTTAGTTTTCGCCAACAGACAACTTGTGTTTTAAGAAAACAAGAGAGGCAGTTTGGTTAAGTGTTCCACACCTGAAAGCAGGTTTCTTTTCTATTTCAGTTTTGCTTACTTTTTCTTTTTGAGTTGAACTGAGGATAAACTATTGCAAATTTATCCATTCATAAGTTATGGACCGTCCAATAAACAATCGAAATCATCTTTTTTCTCACAGCTAAATCATACACCCGTGGTATCTCTATGGCCTCTAGACTCAAACTTTCTTTTTCAAGTTTTTATGCATATCTCTACTAGCTATTAAACTATGTTTTGGTAGCACACGTTCTATTCTGGCAAACACATTTCTGCAGAAATAAATTAAGATATCCTGAGATAAGCTGCTATGGATCGAGGGCATAAAGGAAGACAGGCTGTTTCAAAATACATTTTATACTTGGTATATGAGAAGTAACACCTTGGAAATTAAGCTTAGCACCTAGAAGTTTTCAAGTAACACTGCCAACAAGCTAATTAAGATTTATATGGTTTAAAAATAAGAACGACTTAGAATTATTACTGACATATAGTATTTACACAGAAACAAAGATCAAGGGACAAGGTGAACTGTGGATCACCTCCACTTCAGTAAATGGCATTTTAGAAACTAAATGAAGAAAAAGCAGCAAAAGAAAATCAGAGAGATATTCTGATCTTTTGAAATTAAGTTTCAATAAGGGAACATGATTCTGGTAAGAAACTTCTGCCCTTAAGTAACTGACAGAATATTGTAGAAAACAAAAAACAGAAGCGACAAATAGTGATAATATAAAATCAATATGCAAACAGTATTCTATTTTACAAATATGGATGCACCAAGGAAGTTTGGCTTTGATCATTTAAACAAAATACTAGGGAAAATATTAAACTTAGGTGTTTTTTTTTAAAAAAAAATCAAAATAAAGAGCTGAGAATGATGCAAACAGGTAAACTGAATCAAAACACTGAAGTGTATATTCAGCTTTTGATGTCAAAAAAAAGGGAGAATGCATGTTAACTAATATATAGTGTATATATTATACTGACAGTGTATTTGGTTCAAACATGGAAATGTCTCATTAATGGAAAATCATACAACTAAATTTGAATAATCCAGTCTAATATAAGCTTTTGACCCTATTGCTGAAGTATATGAATCTGTCAAAAATTCTAGAAGACATGGTATTAATGTTCAAAAAAGAAGGGAAAATTTTTCAAAAAGTAATCGAGTGAGTTAAAGAACTCCTGAGGAATAGTAAAACTTTGTGGTCATCCAAGAGAAGTCAAAATTGATATCAAACATGGATCCAGCCATAAGACTCTTACAATAAAGAGTCCACAGGGAGTGGATGATGTAATGTTACACATGATATCACTGAAGTTTCTACTGAGCTTTTGTGAACGGACTCTTAACTATCAATCTAGATGCATGTCCTAGGAAATATATCTGAAGGCACCAGAGAAGACTATTTTGGAAAGAACCTCATGATGTTATACATTACAGAGAGGTTGGAGAAAGTCACATGAGAAAGGACAACTAGAGGTTCCTGCAGAAACTGAAGCTATCTCACATCAAACCATATACTAATTTTTTTTAAAAAAAAACATAGAATAGCAAAGAAAGAAGATACTATGGAAGACACACATTTTGCATATATCATTCCCATTTTTGTTCAAACAAATACAATTACACAAAAATTTGCTTGCATCCCACACATATTGCTTCCTAGTTCCTTTCCTTCACTTTATCATATTTACTACCATGCACCGGATTACACTGTTGACATAAAATTTGATGTTTTGAGTCATTTAACACTAGGGACAGTTAAATGTTACGTGCATTGTCACACTTTAACCTAATTTAAAGTAAAACTTGAGAGTGGGAGCCACTCAACTTTCTCCTCATGCATTTGCATTGAAAATCGCCTTTCATGATTATTTTTATCTTTGTTCAGAGCTCCAAAAAAGATGGGCTTGATGTGAGTCTTCCACGGGCTTCCCTGTTTTATGCAATTCACAGCTCCAGCATCCCAAAAAGAAATTGGTTTTCCATTAGTTCCTGGTGGAATGGTGGCAAAACTTTTAGCCACCCTAGGAAAGTGTTTAACAGTGTTTTAATTGCCTGTTAAGCATCACATGCAACAGCAAAGCTGCACGCTTTCTAATATGCTTCTGATACCCCAAAATATTATCTGTAAAAAAAAAAAACAATCTGATGATTTCTCCCTCCCTCAAATACTTGATTTTTACCCGCTGGAGAATATAAGGCAAAATGCACTTGGTTTTGGCATTCAGACAAAAATATATCACAATTGACCTTTGCCTAACGCAACTCAGTCATTAGATTTTCTAGTTATTTTAGAAATGCAGAATGACTCACGAAATGTATTGTATTCATTATGATTTTATAGATGCTTTGGAATTCAATTTTAATAAAATTGTAAAAGATCTTATGGCATTTCTCCTACTTAAAGGAATCTTCTTTAGCTATTGATGTGTTTAACACACTCCCCATAAGCAGAGTTGCTATTTTATAGTGCCCTAAACATTTTCATGGCATGGTCCATATACATGCATTGTTACCTCTTGCACCAATCTGACAGATGCTGAAGGATAGATACATAGGTGCAGCGAATAGCACCAATTTTTGGGCAAATCATCATGCATTCTTTTCAGCAGCTTTAAACATGCTTCTGAAGAACAAGCAGTATCTGAGAAGGATAACTGAGAGCCCAAAAAAGAATTGGAAAAATCCCAGTAGATATTGCAAACTAGGTATTTTCTGCAGTTACTAAAAGTTGCTGGGAAATCAGATTCCCAAAGCCACCAAGATAGTACATAGCAACATCAAGCATACATTCAACATTTTCTTTTTTTTAAACCGCATACGTATATCTTAGTCTCTATTGTTAAAGACAGAAAAATGGATGAAAAAAAAGCTACAAGTTCTGGGTTGTTGAAAAATACACTGAAGCAAGCTCAAACCAGAGAAGCCGCACCTATTGTCTTGCAGGTAGAAATAGGTAGGAAAACAAGTAGAGAAAATTGGGGGGAAGGCCCAGTTTTTATAAATATCAAACGAAAAGTCAAAGACGGCTTTCAGTCACTGAAAAAGAAAAAAGATGAACTGGTAAGGAAAGTTGTTGTTTTTTTAAAAAAAATTAGACTAGTTGCAATGCAAACTCCTTTTTCTTTCCATTTGTTTTCAGAGAATGGGACTCCTTTAGGGCCTGCAATGCAAAGCTGGACCAGTCCTTTGGGGGCCCCTGTGCATAGTGTATGGAGAAGAGAGAGATGGCTTCAAGCAAGCTAAGTCCTACAACTGTAACTCTTTTTCACAAGCTTGCAGCATTCTGTCCCTTAATTCACATTTGTCATGGAAGTATCAGTGTCATGTGGCTTTTCCAGACCCACTTAGCCTGTTGTATATACTGCAGAATTTAAATATTTACTGTATAAGGAAAGTTGCTCCACATCCAAGCCACACAGCCTGTGTATCTCCCAAAGTTTAGGACATCTGTTTTGGGAGAGACTACATCAGGTGTAGATAAATTCTAGTCCACTCAAACAGACAATTGGCTCAAGTCTCTAGGTCTATAATCCTCTCCCTCTTTTGGCTAAAAGGAAAAAGAATTAAAATACTGTCTCTTTTCACTGCTGCGCTGCTATGCCTGGAATCAGTCAATGAGATCAATGTGCCAGGTGAACAAGCAGCACATTTTCTCCTCGAATGAAAATCTGGTTTATGTGTCGTGTAAACACTTGCTGATAATCCACTTTGGGCCTCTGCTTCTTTTGGGAACGGCCTCTTTTGCTCTTCTCCTCTACTTGGGAGATTCTGCTGGGCAAATCCATGTCTCTCCCAGAGACTTTTGGCAAACTGGAGCTTCGTGTCCTCTCTCTGCTGGCGTGCTTCTTTGCTCCGTGTTTCTCCTCTGATCTTCCCCTACCTGACTCAGATTTCCTCCTCGATGTCCTTGGATCACATGGAAGGGCTGGCAAGTCCGTGGTTGTCTTTGAATAGGCTTCTCTTTTAACCAAGGACTCCTGCAATCTCAGTCTGTCGAAGAGCTATAGAAAAACATTGGAAATAAATTCACAAGTCATAAGAGATGGCACAGAGTATTTTATACTCTGATTGTCCTGTTCAAACGATAAACTAATCTCTTTTGTCCAATTAACATTTGTAAGTCAAAGATTTAGTAAATCCTCTTTTGAAAAAGAGAGGATCTATTTTTCCTTAGTCAGCAAGTTCTCCAAAAGCAATATCACGTAGACCTACAGTATATACTGCTTCACAGTGCTTTACAGCCCCCTCTAAGCAGTTTACAAAGTCAGCATATTTCCCCCAACAATCTGGGTCCTCGGAAGGATGGAAAGCTGAGTCAACCCTGAGCTGCTCAGAATTGAACTCCTGGAAGTGAGTAGTGAGTTATCCTGGAATACTGCATTCTAACCACTTTGCCACCATGGTTCCTTGCATTTTCTATAGACATGACCATGCATGATTCACACATTTCTCGCACAGTACACATACTATACAGATCTGTCAGTAAAAAATCTGCCACAATCATTGATGCAGCTGATTTGAATTAAAGTACCTCTGGGATGGGATCATTTCAATTTTATATAGTAGCCAGCGCACTGGCAATATTAAATGTTAAATGGTAGTAATGTACATATATTTATACTTGAAAAATCTAATGACAATTTGTTGTGATCAGCTGAGGAAGGGTGCAAGCTCACCCTTTCAGTTATTGCTGCATAGCAGGAGAAAGGCTATCACAGGACAAATCACTGATAGCAATCACTGCTACAACTCTTCCCAATCAAAACAAGTGTAAGACATTAAATGTTAAATTATGTGTCAACCGCTCCTATTATTAAGCTTAGAATATTCCTCCTAAAGCAAGTAAAACTTGCATCAATATAGTGAAAGCAAAATCTGCATCCAGGATTTTTACAAGACATAATTTCTTCTCCTTTTGATGGTTCATGTGTGAACTCCTGGTTTGTTTTTATCTAAAAAGGTTTCTGTTTTGTATTTGTATGTACATTCAAACTTTACTCTCAACTTCCAACATCTATCAACTACTGCTGGTTAATAAATAGAGCTTGCCAAGGATGGTGCTAGTGAGAACTCAGGATAAGTCTGTTGAGCCATGGTGGCGCAGTGGTTACAGTGCAGTACTGCAATCTACTTCTGCTGATCACTGGCTACCAGCAGTTTGGCAGTTCAAATCTCACCAGGCTCAAGGTTGACTCAGCCTTCCATCCTTCTGAGGTCTGTAAAATGAGGACCTAGATTGTTGGGGTGGAAATGCTGACTCTGTAAACCGCTTGGAGAGGGCTGTAAAGCAGTATATAAGTCTAAGTGCTATTGCTATTCACTTGTTAAAATGACACATGAATGGATAAAAATCTGTACCACTCCCTGTACAAAGAATTAGTATAAATAGTGGGCCTACCTCTAGAGCATGTTGGCTGAGGAATTCTAGGAGTTGAAGTCCACACATCAGTTGTCAAGGTTGAGACACACTGCTCTAGAAGATGATAAACCTAGTTTGCTCAACAGACCGCCTATTTACACAAAGATGTGTTTTTTGGGGGGTGGGTGGGTGGGGGGCTCTGTATTCCAGTATGTCCTGAATGTGTAGCAAACTGGTTAGCAGCAGACTAATCTTTCCGAACTGCACACAAATTGCACACATCCCAAGTGCATTCTTTTGTGCACGTGCAACAAGACTGACCGTAAGAAGTCTTCAACAGACATTAATCAGTTAATAGAAAACCCATACCAAAGATCGCTCAATATATTTTTTTTAAACAGAGAACCTTGCCTAAGAATACATGCACACACATTTTTGTTTCCCTATCTGTATTTATGTACATAGAAAATATGCACTGTTCTGCACCATGGTTGGGTAGGTAAACCAGTTCTGCCACTGTTTAAGGTCTCCACAACATCTTAGGTCTTCACCCTAATTTGATGACAGCAAGCTCTTTTAAATTCCTTTATCCATTCACTATTAGTTTCTTGTCTTTCAAATAGCAGAGAAACTCTCATCCACTTCCTCCAGAGGAATAAAGGTCAGTGGAAAAGGAAGGAGAGCTGGTTTATTTGGCAAGCGAAAAACATGTCAAATAGAAAGCCTCAACAGCCTTTTATCTAGGGCAGGTCTCACAACAGACCAATGAGGGGAATGAGGAGCTGCCTCCTTCCTCCCACTCTGCAGAACATCTGGAATGTGAAAGGACAGGGCTGTAAAGCCCTGTAAAGCAGTATATAAGTCTAAGTGCTATTGCTAGTCACTTGTTGAAATGACACATGAATGGATAAAAATCTTACTTTCTCCTAACATTTGTCAGAAGGCAATAGAAACAAGCTTCTATTTGCACTCTGCAAACAGCCTGAAGCAAGATCAAAGGCCTTTCCTAACTTTACACACTTAGGGAGGGATGAGCTTAGTAGTAATCCTGGTTATTGATTTGGTAGTTAGCCAAACCAAACTTTGCAGACTCTTGATGATTAGGTCAACCTTCACCCCCAACATGATCAAATGTATTGACAAAGGAATATAAAGAAGAATGAAAGAGAAAAACTAGCATGTAAGATCATCCTCATTGGATCAATCTTAAGCCTATCTACTCCAGCATTGTGTTCTACAGTAACTGACCCAAGTGTCCGTGAGAATCCCACAAGCTGGTAAAGAAAGCAGCAGTGCCTCTGCTTCCCAAGCCCTGCTACACAGACATTTTGCAAATTCTGGTTCTGATTCTTTGAGTAGACTGAAATTTAGAATCTAGGAATCAGTTTTAAATCATTATGAGTTTCATACATTTAGTAATAAACAAAAACAAAAATAAGGTGAGAGTTACTAAGTCAAACCTCTGGAGAGCAAGAGACTAAACTCTGAACAAACTTAACTCCCAATGATTGTATCAGGCTACATCTCCACCAATCAATAAAAGAAGACAGGAAAGAGCCGTGTCTTTTAGAAACATGTGTGATATTGTGGAGAATGGAAACTTACTCTGGTGAGGGTCAACTGTGGCTCCACATAGAAAGCTTTACCCAGCACTGGTTTTCGGTATGTCTCATCTACATCAGTCAGGGCCTGGTGCAAGGCAAATAGGCAGAAAGACTTAAAACATATAGGATCTTCTTACCATAAATTTTGAAATCACAGTGGGGAAAGATGACAGGAGTCAGGAGGATATCAACATAAACAAATGATTTGATACTTGTTCTCAATGTCTGATTGAGATATTGTAAAGCAATATAGGATTTTCTCCTCGCTCACCAGAATTTTTATTTTATTATGAGAATAAGCCCATTCGGATATACTTAGGCATTTAAGAGCAATTCCATAGACTTAAAATAAAAGCCCAGATTCTTTTGCCATTTTCTTGCATTGGAAGAGCCACTCCCCAAAGTCCTGCTAACTACATACATTTGTATGGTGTGTGGTCTGAAGCTTTCAAGTAAATGCTAGTAATAAGATATTTACATTTTAATAACTGGAGCATTGAAGGGTTGGACAATGAGTAAGAACAAACAGTTACAGCTAATTGGTTAAAGAGAGCTGGCCACTGCTTGAGGGAAGCTGAGCTGTACTTGGTTGCTATAAGAGTAAAGGGGGAGTTTCCTTGTTTCCCGCCTTTTTGTCCTGGGTGTTGTGTGTGTGCTCTTCTGTGATTTACCTGATGATGTTCCTACTAGGTTGATTTTCCTGACGATGTTCCTGTTTGCCTTATTTACTGTAAATATATTTATTTATATAAAACTGGTTTGTTTTGGGCACCAGCTGTGCAATTCCCTGACATTGTAAAAACCACAGAAGGGAAATGTTCAGGATTACCATATTCCAGAACTTGTCAAATGCAACCAAGAATCCAGTGCAGACACCACGAAGCCCCTTGAAAGTTCGGATATGGACATTGACCTTTACGCCGTCACGGACACAGCGGTGGAGTTCCCCAAGTGGACTGCCTTCATGAACTGGAAAGTAAGATAACAACCATCATTTTCCATAAAGCGAAACAAACAGTTTGCAGCTATTATTGCTATTATTATTTGAATTATATTTATGCCCCACAAGGCATAAGAGAGAATGCCTACAGCAGTGGTAGGATTCAATTTTTTTTACTATCGGTTCTGTGAGCGTGGCTTGGTGGGAGTGGTGTGGCTTGGTGGGGTTGGCTTGGTGGGTGTGGCAGGGGAAGGATTCTGTAAAATCTCCATTCCCACCCACTTCTGGGGTCGGTTACTGCAAAAGCCCATTCCCTTCCCACCCAGTAACCTGCTTTCCAGCTCCATTCTCCTGTGGAGGGCAACAAAAGAAGACCCAGCCGATCAGCTGGGACTCAGGAGGGAGAGAATAGATGGGGGCAGGGCCAATCAGATGTGGTATTTGCCGGTTCTCTGAACTACTCAAAATTTCTGCTACCGGTTCTCCAGAACTGGTCGGAACCTGCTGAACACCACCTCTGACCTGCAGGAAAATTTTGCACTGTATTATTCAGAACTGTCCATCTCAAAGTTCCCATATGTTCTGTCTATCTTCTTATTAAGCATTAACTGACCTGGTTCTTTGATTTTTTTTCATCCCTCTAAAACCAAAAGAATAGCACATTTCTATTCAGTGAGAATCATTTAACCAAATACTGTATAATAGTTTTCCAAACATTAACAAGTATTATTCTTAATATCATGGAATTTATTTTTCTCTGGCTTTAGGCACTGCAGACATACAGAGTTTATGGGTATGTAATTGGATATGCAATAGCGGTGAAATTGATTTTTAGCACAGTACATATGCTTAATAACCCAATTCTCAATGATTATTAAAAGGTTGTCACTATGCAGTAATTAATATTTCTGGTTGATAATCATGTCAGTAACCAAACAACAATCAATGCAGTATAAATTCTAATCTTTCAAATGATTAGTCTTTTATAGCTCATCATTTATTATAAGTGACATAAATAAATATACCAGCCATCTCTCTGGATAACATTAAACGATCATGTTAGCATTAAAAGGATCCTGAATCATATAGTATAGAGGTTGCAGTCCTGGATTTACAATTTTTAGGTGGATTCTATAAGTGTTTCACTTATACACGGATATTAGGAAGGAGGAAATGTCCAGGAATGGTTCTAACCATTGGCAATAGCTCTTTCTTCTGGAGAGGAGTCTTCTTAAAATATAGTCCACTGCAGATGCTCCAAGCCAATACAAAATTCTTCTTTCGCCCCAGCTTCCTATCATTTAAACAACCTTTCCTTACCTAGATACCTCTTGTACAGTGGATTTAGGTTGTGACTATTGACAACCAAGTGCGGGCTGGCTGAGGAAATCTATGAGTTGTAATCAACCTATCTTGAGGATGGCCAGGTTGGAAAGGAGTACACAAGGTCATTTAGGCACGCTTAACAATATATAATTTTGTTACTTCACTGCGAATTTCCACACTATACTCTGCTACTTCCATGGCTATTGGAATCTGGAATTTCTTGGAAGATTCATTGAAATGAGTTCAATAACATTAAAAGCTTCTATACTTTATCAGCCAGATGAGAAGTAGATGATAAATCCCTTTTTGGTATTATCATCTTGTATCACTCTGAAACCACAAGCCAAAGAAGTTAACCTTTTTCTTTTCTAAAGATAGATAGACTGCTGCAGTTATTTGGTATTTTGCAGTTATTTGGTATGTATACATAAATTAAACTAAAATATTAATTCGATATATTCCATTTGTACCACTCTTTTCACTTCCAGTACAGGTATTCAAATCATAGCTGAGAAATTAGCTGAAAGTAATGGGAATGTGGTGAAAAGATTTAATATATGATCTCAAAACAAATAGCAGACATCAACATACAGGTTTGCCTATTATTCTATTATCATAATTTCTGCTCTATATTCATAAGCCTGAAATACAGTTTAAAAACTAGGATCATAACAACCTCACTATTGCTACAACAGCTGCAAAAGACAATGTCAAGTTCTAGGTTTTCAAAATGCTGCTTGCAGCTTTTTCTCCAAGTCTAATCATTTTAATTCAAACCTGAAAGAATAAACTTTGGAAAGGTGTGGGGAAGCAAGTTCCTGCAAATAACAGACTTGTGTCAATTAGGAGGCTATGAAACATTTTGAATTATATGGAACAGTATAATTTTGAAATGAGTGGTTACCAGAATAATTAGCGCAACAACACTTCCAAGTAAGGTTTAAATAACTATACTGAACCTAAGATATTATTTCAAATCTGAAACATTTAAAACCCAAAATCTGCTGCATGCCATTAGTATTAGCTACTAATAGCCAGATCTTCTCAGCACAACCTTTGAACATTATTTTAGAATGCAGAATAAAAATTAAAAAATGCCTTACATTTTAAATGTACTTTTGAAAGCTGTTTGCTATATGGTCACAACATGCTGGAGAAAATACAGGCAGTTTCTACCGGTATGCACCAAAGACAAATTCCTTGTGTGTCCAATCACACTTGGCCAATAAACAATTCTGTTCTGTTCTATTTCTATTTCTATTCCATTCATCCGAGATCCACAGTAGGGCTTTTACTTTGAAGTTACTCTGAATGTCATCTAAACAAGAACACTTAACAACATCCAGAATGTCCAGTAGAACCTTCAGATCCTTTATTTTCCACCAACAATGGTTCTATTATCAGAAATAGTTCCAAGCCGACTTCCGGTTTGAAGGGCTTTGGCGACAGACAGAAATCCGCGATAGTGCGCAGTTTCTGTCTGGGCTCGCTGCTGGAGCGCCCCGAGCCGGCTGGTTTTGGGGCTAAGCCACCCCATAGAGGTGGTGAAGAGCGGGGAGACCGCCAGCAGGGTTGAGGAGAGCCGCATCTCTCCTCCTCAGCTGGCCATTACTCCCTTTCCCGAAGGCGGTTGTAACGGTGGTCAGAAATGGCCACAAAGGAGAACTCGACCAGAAAAGAATGTGCAGGAGGAAGATAAGAAGTGAAAGTTTTGGCTGACCGGGTTAAATTGTAAAAGCAACAACTAAGGTACCCTGGAATTTAAACTTATAAAAAATAACATTGCTCCCAAAAAAGAGTCAGAAGCAGCGAAGGAAAGTGAAAAGGGAAAGGTTTGGCTTTTTTTTCTTTCTCTCTCCTTCCCTATACTGACAACTAAGAGACTTAAATAAGAAATCGGAAAAATCCGCTTTGACATCAATAGGCAATTAAGCTGAAAATAAAACAAAATGTCAAAGGGATAATAAAGATTTCTGGACATTAAAATTTTTCTTTTTCATAAGCAGGAAGGGAGAGAAAAAGAATAAGGGCAGGATCTGGAAGCGGGAGGAGACTGCCTGGAATTAAAAAGAATCTACAGTAAAACTTCAACAAGACTTCTAAAAGATACATTTTAACTGAAACTTTGCAACTAAATAGTAACCCCAGGAAGAAAAGTGAAAAAAAGAGCAAAAAAGAAACAGCTTGCATGTATTTGGATTATTTGGTGATCTTTGGATTCTTGGTTATTATATTTGAATGACTAAAATCAATCAGGTGGTTGTTTAAAAATTTATACAATGGCACCACTTCTGGTTGAATTGAAAATGGAACTTAAAAATACCAAGAAGATGCACAAGAAGGGAAGGGTTCTTTTGGCTTCGTTTTTCAATTCTTAGAAATGGAGATTTGGAACTATGAGAAACAACAAGAAAAGACTGCAAAACAAGAAGACTGGGACAAAGAAGAAGCCATCTTTAATAAACAAGCAATTTTATGTGGGGAAGAAAAAGGAAAGGGGGGAAAGAGAATGGAGAATTTAAGACTTAAAAGAACAACCAAGAAAAGAAAAATAATTCGAAAAATAAGTATAATACTGGAAAGCAACAGAAAAGGGGAATGCAGAAGAGAGAAATAGAGGTAGAGAGACAAGGGGGTAAAAAGGGGAGAGAGAAGAAGAGAGGGAAGAAGGAAAGGAAAATAAGTTACAAAGGACCGGGGCAAGATATAGAGAAACAGGACCTATTTAGAGATAATGGGTGAAAATCTAACTAAAAAAGGGATTCTGTGAAGGTACATAAGATTATATTGTTATATTAGTAATAGAAATAACTTTAGAAAATTGGAAACAACGTATGATTAAAATGAGGGATAAAATAGTTAGTGTAATTTAGTGAAATGTTTGTGAATAAAGTAAGTGAAATAAAATAAATGAGAAAATTGAATTTGGAAGGGACGGGAACATTTTAATTAGTTAATGTTTTATAAAATATAAGTGAAGGGAGGGGGGAATTAACTATGGAAAGCTTATAATTGTTCCCATAGAAGTATGATATTTAATTGAAAAGAAATGTTAAAGATGTTAAGTCTTTAATGAATATTAATATTAATGATAGAATTGAATTGGAATGGAATGTTGTTTTAATTATATACATTTATAATTTTTTCTTTTTTAAAGAATACAGTGTGTTTTTTAAGAATGTACCAAGCAGAAATCGGAAGGGAAGTTATGTATTACATTGAATGTTACAACTTTAGGGAAAAGATATAAAGGCGTCATACTCCAATCAGTAACTACAGGAGAAATTTTGTTTAATGAGAAAAGATAATAGATAATTGAAACAGGACAGACAAAAAATATAAATACAATTATTTGAATTAAGATGAGATAATTAAAATAAAATTGAGAAAATTAAAAGAGGGGAGAAGCTATGCAGAAAATGTAAAATAGTAATAAGATATGGAATAGAATATAAAAATGAGCATGACCCTGAATTTGTGTCTGTACGAAGAAATGTAACCTGGGATTATGCTACTTTCAAAAAAGATGTTTTATTTGTATTTTTTTTTCTCTTTGTGAAAACTCAAATAAAATTTACAAAAAAAAGAAAGAAATAGTTCCAAGCCATTCTACTTCAATTCCTTATGCTTAAGAATGTCAGCAATATTTTAGTGTTTTCCCAAGAAGATACCTTGGACAGTTCTCTCACTCTTCTTATTGTTGTTCCATCAGAAAAGTAATGTTCATTAGCCAATTATGATCATCTCTTTAATCAATTTTCAAGCAGTCCAGTAACTGTGGCATTCAATCTATTAAAGCTCTGTGATCCCATGGTGAAACTGAGGAGGCACAAGCAGGGGTGGGGTGCTACTGGTTCTGCCTGGCTCTACAGAACCGGTAGCTCTGAAGAGCAGCAGACACAGAACCGGTTCTGTTGTTTGGCCCACCCGCCCGCCTAGGCTCTTACCTGTCCTTTATTTCCTGCTTTTTCAACCTCAGCTGCTTTGCATGGCACAGCTGGGGTTGAAAAAGCAGGGGGGGAAAGTGGCTTTTCAAACGCTGCGCACCTGTTTGCAGTGCTTTTCAGCTGTCCCGCGGCACAGCTAAAGATTTCCTTACATGCGCACATAGCAAAATGTAATCACCGAACCAGTAGTAACACCGGTTGAATCCCACTGGGCAGAAGTGATATCAACTTTTCATTTAACAGATGTACATCTTCTCTAATTTATTCAAATAACATTTACAGGGCTGCAAACACCCTCTTCAAGGCACTGCCCACATTCAGTCCTGCTTAGCTACAGCACAGGATGAATCTATAAGGACTTTTTAACCTCTTGTACCTCAGAAGATAGAGCAGTCTGATCTTCAATACATAGCTGGGCATCTTTCTTTCATATGATTCAATGCCTCTTCATTGTATCTTTTCTTTTTATGTACTACACTGAGAGCATACATACCAAGACATATTCCTTGTGTGTCTAATTATACTTGACCAATAAAAAATTCATTCATTCATTCATTGATGACTGAAGAAAATCTGATTACCTTCACTATTTTTACTCATTTTATCTTGCCTTTATTATTTTTTATAAATGGCTCAAGGCAACAAATACACCTGATGCTCCTTCATTCTCTTATTTTCCTTACAACCCTATGAGGTGAGTTGAGCTGAAAGAGTGATTGGCTCAAAGGCACCCAACCAACCTTCATGACTAAGGCAGGACTAGAACTCACAATCTAGTTTTCTAGTCTGATGCCTTAATCACTAAAGCAAACCCTTCAGTGCCCTTCTTTCCTAAAAGATCAAAGCACACATCACCAGGGTCTTCCCTCACTACACCTTAAATTTTCAAACCAGGTTTTAACGTGGGCCACATTCGCTGGCTAATTGTGACCCACATGCAGTATTTAACGTCAATCTTATTATAGTTTGATAACTGATCCCCTATTGTGGATTCACACGAAATAAAGAACTAAGCACATAAGCTCAATTCACACAACATGCTAAGGGCAAATGTAGGCAGCTAATTTATAATTTGGTGCGGTGTGCGACACATCCACTAACTCTAGCTGCAAAATGGCTTGCCAGGACTCTTTCCATACTACTACCTTCCAAATAGGCTCTCACCGGTAGTTCTGTAGTCCCACTTTTTTTCCCACTCTCTTTAGCACATACTCTTAACTTAAATCAATTACAACTGGAAAATAGGATTACCTGAACTGTTTAAAAAAATTGTTTTGGTGCACCTCACGCACACACACACACACACACCCCGCGGAGCCCGGATCAAAGCCAACATGCAGCAGTGTATATCCTGGACTTCCCAGCTCGCCCCACATGCAAAAACTGCGTTCAGTGCCAGATCTCACGTGCGGGACCCAAACCCAGAACTGCTTTCCAATCACCAGGGTTAGACTCTGGAATACGAGCAGAGTGCCTGCCCTTTTGGGCAAATAATTGGGAGTGGTGGTGGGGAGGGTCGTGATATTTCGTCCGAAAGGAGACGCTGCGCTAAACGCCGCTCAGCTTACGGGGCATCTTGGTGAGGACGTTGCGCGGCGCTCTCCTGCCCCGCGCCCTCGCTCTCTCCGCCGCTTCTGGCTCGGGCTCCTTGACCAACATGAGGTTGCGGAGCCGTTGGAGGCGTTCGGGATCGGCGGTGGCTCGGCCGGCCCGGCTCCGAGCACGCGTCCCGGCGGAGCGGCTGCTGCAGCCGGCGGCTGTTCGCGAGCGACTCGGGGCGCGGAGCAGGCCGCGCTGGAAGCTCTCGTACTCGGCCAGGTTGTTGAAGCAAGGCGCGGCCGGGTAAGGCAACGGGGTGCGCTCCGAGTACAACGCCAGCAGCGGGTCGAAGCGCGGCGAGCTCACGTCCAGCCGGCCGGGACTCGGCGATCGCTCCGAGCTGCGATGCCCGCTTGAGTGACGCCGGCTCCTTCGCCGCCTGGCCTCAGCCCCGGCCTTCTCCGCCGCCGCCTCCTCCTCCATGTCTCTCCCGCTCTTGCCCTGGCCCCGGCCCTGCTGGGAGGGGCAGGAAGAGCCGCCCGCAGCGCGCTCCTTCGCCGCTATGGGCCGCCCCAGCCCCGCGATTGCACGGCAGGTCCCTTCCCGCCGCCTCTTGATGTTCTCTCGGCAGGCCGGCGAGAACTGCGTTGCCGCCCGTCCGCTCGCAGAGCTGGCCCTCCGGAAAGGGCGCCTCTGGCTCTGGGTTGGCCGCCTGGAAGGAGGACCATTGTCCCCCTTCATTCATCTGAGGAAGGGATGGAACTCACGGTTCTCAAGACATCGCATTCCCTTCTTGAGGCTGCGGATTGCTCAATACTTGGCCGCGCGGGCTAGGAAAGGTTCAGACCGCGGTTGCTTTGCATTTGAGCTGGTCTTTTGTGAGCCCAGCCATTGGGTTTATTCACTAAATCATAGTAGAAACAAATGAGGGCTACTGTAAACCATGGTATAATAACATGTGCTGAGCACTGGGTGCAGAGGAACAATCAAGGATAATCAGGCCATGCTTTTTTGGATGCGAAGTAGATTCTGGCCTGGTTCGTGCTTGGCTAAGGTATTTCAGGGTTGTCGGCTTGAGCCGTCAGGTCTGGGTTGCATTACACCAAATGGCCACTAGATGGCAGTTTCCAAGGTTCTTTGCTGCCATCTATGAGCTTTCCGGATCGTTTGATGTTCAGGTAGTGTAGCTAGATTTAGGGGAGGTGGGGGGGACTGGATGGCAGAAATGTCAAGCATTTTGATAATGCTGTCAAACAACTGCATGGATAGTGAGTAGTAGTTGAGGTCTCTTTAAGTGCAGTAATTAAATTAGTCTGGTTAAATATCAAGTACTGCAACATTTGTTTTTCCAATTTGCTTCTTGTTTCAGGCAATTCTATGTAGAAATGGAAAATAATTGTATGCTAATATGCCTTTGATCTTGTATAAAGTATTTGCATATATGCATTAGTAAAAGCCAGTAGATAATTTTCACAGAGTTACAGAGCTAAACATTTATTAAAGGCTATTAACCCATTTAGAAAAGAAGGCCATTTGCTGACAGTGATAAGGACACCTTAAGGACTATTTGAACTGTCCAATAGGAACTAAAATAGTGGAGATGCTAGGCCAGATTTACTGAACGTAATATGATACTCTGATTCCTACAACCTTCAGAGGTTGGGTCCAAAGTTGTGATTAGGTCAGCTGCTAACAAGGAAGTTAGTGATTGTGCTAAAGATGAATTTTTGTAAATATTTATTTATTCAACTTCTAGAGGCTCATCTCAATCAAATTCAGATTCTAGAAGATAACCATAAGACCATACAGTAAAGTTTTAGCCTGTTCTGACAGAAATCGGAAAAAAGCAGCCTTGATTAATAGGCATCAAGGAATGTCTTATGCATAGGATCACCTTCCCCATCCTACCCTCATAATTGTTTTGTCTGACTATTTAAACTTGTAAGGTGACTTATGAGGGATGAACACAATTGTTTACTGACAATTGGAAATTAGGATTTTTTTTGTTTAGGTCTGTAAGAAGTCTATCATGTGCTTCATTTTCTGCTTATGTCTTATATAGTGATTACTTAAAAATAGACAAATTAGCGAGCCAAGTATATTCCACCTTCTGATTCTCAGTATGGCTGGTATAACAAAATATCACTCTGCTACTGAGAAGTTCCCTGAAATGAACTCTAGCATGAATCCAAAGACAAAACCTCTGGTCCCAGTGACCGATCCAGATTGGATCCTGCAAAATGTGATTCAAACAAATTTGGTTTGTAAATCCAGCAGAGATCTGTTTTGTATTGTAGAAAGGTGCTGGATCAGGAATTGGTTAATACAGCCACTGGCTAACAAGTGGCCAGCTTGTTTTTGCTTCAGTGTGTTATGAAAACACAGCTGCTTTTTTTGTTGTTGTTGCTGCTAATAACCTGGAGCACCTTGTGGAAAGCAGGAATACAAAAATCCACCTTGCGTAGATACTTTGCCTATTATTCCTGCTAAGCTCACTACAAGTATTGTGGATTGCTGACACAGATACAAGAGCTCATCATTTTTGGAAAGCACGTTACTTGTTTCTTTTTACCCTTTTAATGTTATTTTAACTATAGTAATGAAGACACTTGTCACTTCAGAAAAAATAAGTACATTTTTTTTCAAATGGCTTTCAAATGATGCAAAATGCCTATTATTCTAAATTATTGCCTTTTAGAGCAAATTCACAAACACTTAAGAATCCCCTTAAACAGCTCTATATAAAACCTAGACACCAGGGCGATTTTTACCCAAATCTCACATTTGTCCGAATGCCTCTATCCTTTTTGCTGCTGGGTAGCATGGCCTTTGAAAAGGCAGAAGAGTAACACAACTCTTTGAACTTCACATCCCAATACAAGACTTTCAGTAAGTTGGTTGCCACAATTCTCAACAGCAGGAACTGGATAGTTTCCCAGGCAGCAGCAAAATGAGAGCATGACCTACAAACACACCCTGCTGCGCTATCTCCCTTATACAATAACATTATTGCTCTTGGTTGGCCACCTGAGACCTTGTCTAATAATCCGAAATGCAGCAAGGAGAGAGTCCAAATAATAAATGTTCGATTACAGAGGGAAATTATGTTTCCATAGCTTTCAAAAAGGCCGGAACTAATTTACACTTGAGAGAAAACTTCCTAATTACTTTCTGCTACTTGCCAGGGTATTTTGTTTATCACTCATATAATCCAGAGACATTAGCAACTAGGATAATTTGTAACTTGGCTCCCTGATGATAGAATTTAATTTGAAGGAGTAGTTTAAATGTTTTCAGAGTTTTAAATGGGCAACTTAGCATCTCATGAGACCTACAGCAGTAGAGTTCTTTTGAGGGCCAGAGAAGAAATTAAAGGCATTCCTTTTCCAATGTAAAGTTTAAGATTATTTTCAGCCTACTTGTAATTTTAATAAAAAAGTGTTTATTTATGAACAATACCTTGATTTTTCATTTGTTCACTCAAGTAAAATGGCTATTACAAAATACAAGATTATATCTTTTCCCCACCATAATGCAATTCTTGTAAAATAAAGTATACCCAATAGGTTCAGACTAAAATGCAGATAGGAAAGGTCACCTCTTGTCAAGCAGGATTTCAGGATTGTGTTCCCAAAATTCATTTCCAATAATATCACAATGCAAAGGAATTGGTCTATTTCTCTTCTTGATTTCTTCAATTTCGTTCTCTTCTGTTTCCCCTACTTTAATTTTTTTCTTACCGATTTCATCTACCTAGGAATAGAAATACAAATAATATATTAATAACTGAACTTTTAAAAATCTATTCAGAATTTAAGGCTTTTAGAGTGTTTAATATATTAAATCAAAGCACCACTTTCACGTATTAGACTATCGTTGTAAAATGGCAGACTTCATCTTCAAAGCATCTTCATTCCACTTCATTCAGAAGAGAATGATTTTTTTCAACATGTTTTTGACATGCAGTGGCTAAACTGATACATAATGTTAAGCCAGGAACCAATAGGTAGCATCCCCCTCCCCTACTTTCTCTTGCAGTCTTCAAGGAATTGCCTCGTTCCCAAAACCACACTGCCCAAATCTGGCATCAAATCATTAATGACATAATTTCCAGTAGGGGCAGAAGGAAATAAAAATGTGTTAAACTTCAGAAAACCTTAACATGTTTTAATGAATTCCTATGAAAGTAAAAGAATCACACCTTGAATGGCAAGGACGCTGAGTGTCGTTATGTTTTCACTTATAGCACCTGGCTGCAGAATATAGGGCAAAAAAAAAAAAGTCTTGTGGCCAAAAAATCATTCCTTGGCTTTCATGAAGATATAAGTTTGCTTGCTTTTGGCTTGTGGGATGCAAAAAGCCATACCATGACTTAGTACTATAATTTGCTGATCTGTATACTTAATTAAATCAGCAAGATCTAACTCATATACACACAGTATTCACATTCTTATGCAGGACTGGGGAATCAGTGTCCTATAAGATGTTCCGTAACTGAATGCCCATCTTTCCACAAGAGGCCAGATAAGCTATGGCTAATAGTACAAATAATCCTAGAATTATGATGGCTATTGGGACTAGGATTGCCATTGCTAAGCAATCAGCTGTAAAGAACAATGTCATGTGACTATCCTCACTTAGCGAGGACAATCTGGGAACTCCTAGTTGCTGTCATAACCCCAAGATATGTGGGTTATTAAGCAGTGGAAGTCCCAGGTAAGGGAGCTCCGAGGTTTATGGGGGAATCTGAGAAGCCCAGCAAAGGCCACATGAGCTGGTGAAGGGCCACACAAGTCAGAAGTGACTGGGAGAGGTGCCAGAGACTGTGTGACCTTCCCTGCCAGGTTTCCTGTTGTCTTTGCTTATTGGAAGCTAGCAAGAAAAGTCACAAATGGCAATCACACGACTGTAGCTTCCCGCAACATAACCATCAGCCAGACATCCAAATGCTTCGGTCATAATAATTAAACAACATGGGGGTATTGCCATTGATGAAGCTTCGGGGACTGATTGCACATCCATATTTTCAGCACTGCTATAATTGAATGGTTGCTGAACAAGTGGATATAAGTTGAGAGCAATCTGTAATTGGAACTGCACGTCATTTTCTTGAATTATATTGTACAGCTAGTCGTCAACAACAGTTCATTTAGTTCAAAGTTACAATGGCACTAAAAAATGTGACTTACAACTGTTTTTCACACTTACATGTTTCCCTGTGCTCACGTGATCAAAATTCAGTTGCTTGGCAACTGACTCATATTTATGAGGGTTGCAGTGTCCTAGGGTCATGTGATCATCTTTTGCTACCTTTTGACAAGCAAAGTCAATGGGGAAGCCAGATTCACTTAATAATCATGTTACTAACTTAACAATTGCAGTGATTCACGGCAAGAAATGTCATAAAAAATGGGGCAAAATTCACTTAACTGTCTCACTTAGCAACAGAAATTTTAGGCTAAACTGAGGTTGCAAGTCAAGAACTACCTGTATGTTATGTTCAAATAGGAAGAGTTCAATGAAGACAAATAGGAGTTTTCCCTATCCTCTTGCTTATGGAAGGCAAGGGGACTCCTCCAAAGGGGTGCAGAAATGGAGGTCAGATCTCCTATGAGCTGTTTCAGTAGCCCTTTGAAGGCATTCCTCTCCATGCAGAGGGGAGGGGTATTCCTTTGAAGAGCTGAAGAAAAGGAAGTCAGTTACCAAAGATGTGAGCCTCATTTCTGCAGCCACCAAAGCAGTTCTCCATACAAGAATGGGAGACAAACACCTCCAGTGGGATTGAGAAATGGAGGTCAGATCCCAAAGATCCAGCTCCGTTTCTGCAGGACGCTTGGAGCAGTTCTCTTCCACACATAGAAAACAGCTAAACTCAGCAGGCAACAATCTCACTCCACTTAACGACTCCACTTAATGACCCATGATGACCCATTAATGATCATGAGTATTGGGATTGTGGTCATTGAGCAAAGCATTCATATGGGCATCTCACTTAACAATCACTTGGCTCAAAATAGATTCTGGTCCCAACTGTGGTCATAAGTCAAAGTCTACTAAACAAATATGGTATATAAATAATGGTAGCTGATACACAAAATGTTCAAGTATAAATACAAACATCTATAAGCATTGAAGCTTTGTTTGTTTTTTACACTGGCAATATATAGGAAGATTACTGTAAATAGTGGTCTTTCATGATCAAAAGGTGAGCTAAAGAAGGAAAGCTGAAATAAGGTGGCATATTATCAATAGAATATTTAAGTGTTGAAAAGATATAAAATATAATAATGAAAAAATAACTTTTGGGAATAGTACTATTCCCCAAATAAAAATAATTTTTGGGAATAGCACACCCAATATCAGTTCCTGGTCCAGTTCAGGATGTTGGTCATTACTTTTAAACCCTGGGTCCAGAGTATCTGAGGAGCTGTTGATCCCAACGCGATAGGCTCATCCCACTCACTCCAGCAGAAGACATATTCCGGATCCCACTGCCAAAGAATTTCAATTGGTAGACTGCAGGAAAAGAGCCTTTCCTAATGAGCCTTTTGGAACATTCTCCCACTGGAGGCGAGATTGGTCCCCACATTCCTGGTCTTCCAGAAAAGCCTCAAAACCTGGCTCTGCCAGCTGGCCTGGGGCACTGATAGGGGTGCCCTATGCTGAGGTGACTGGCTGGGTAAAGAAACATTTCTACCCCGATATCACCTGTCCCCTTCATTTTTAGTTTCTTATTTAATCTTAATTTTAATCATTTCATGTTGTCTCTTTTTAACCTTTTTATCATTCTGTAAGCTGCTCAAAGTTACTGTAAGAGTGAGATGAGTGGCATATAAATAAATAAGTAAGTAAGTAAGTAAATAAATAAATAAAATCAGTATGTCACAAAATATGAACAGCATAATGGTGTGTATTCCAAATTTTCATTACTACTACACTTGATAAAATCTTTTTTTCAATTGCACTTCACTGAGCACTAAAGTGATACTTAGTGAAATGCAATGCCTAATATTTGGGGTAGATTAAACTTAATACAGTATTCTACTTTTCAACTATTTTTGAAAGGACTCAACAGTAGAGATAAGACCATTATTTGATGTTATGTATAAACAAATAATCTGAGACTTCATAAGCCAAAACTTTTCCACCTTCAATAGCAGGGTTAGTTAATATGTGAGAATCCAGCTTTAGCTAAACCTTAATGTGGAATTACCACTATTTTGCTTCTGGTCTCCAGTACCCTCTGGCTGGACATATAATGGATATCACTGGGATGACCATTGAGGATCTGAAGGAGGCAGTGTGAGACAGGGAAGCATGGACAGTGCTGATCTACAGAATGGCTGAGGGCTGGACACAACTGAATGGCTGATGACGATAATGCTTCCGGTCGTCTAATACAGGAATAACTCTTGCAATAACTTCATCATACAAAAGCATAATCAACTGATGAGGCAGATGTCTCTGGTAATTCAGCACAGATGGGCTTTGTTAAAAAAAAATCACTTTACTATCCTAAAATATTTTTGTATAATTACTTATTTAAAATATGCTTGCTGACATTTTAAAGACAAACAAGAATATGACTTACCTTCTTCCATATTAAAACAGTTCCTTTCCTATATATTTCAGGTTCTTTGTTGTAGTTAATGTTGAATTCAGAAAATAAAATCTCATTCTTGTCATTTGCAAGGGTTCCCTAAAGGGGGGGGAGGGAAGCATTTCATATGAACCTAGGAGAACTCTATTAATATTTGAAATTATTAATGTAATAAATGGATGTTACTCTTCATTTAGGGATTCAGCATGCATTTGATCAAAAAGGAACCCATCACACTTCTGAACACACATTCTCCTCAGAAAGAAAATAGGGAAACATTGGTTCATAGCTACTAACAGGTGGAGCTTAAAACTTCATTTTTTAACAGGTGATTAAGATGTCATCCATCATTATTATTAGCAGGCAAAAAGCTTGGTGAAATAATTTAATATACCTTTCTCCAGGGGTGGGATCCGACAGGGTTAACTACCAGTTCGATGATTTACGAGGTTCGGTGATTTACAATGTGCTTCCTGCACGCTGAGTGGGCGTGCCTGTAAATCGTCATCAGCACGCTGCGTGCAGAGAAGCAGCCTTTGAAAAAGCCCTTTTTTCCTACTTTTTTAACTGCAGCTGTGCCCTGCACAGCAGCTGAACTTGAAAAAGCAGGAAATAACGGTCAGGTATGAGCCCAGGCAGGTGGGTGGGCAAAAACATCAGCAGACATAGAACTGTTTCTATGTCTGCTGCTCTTTAGAGCTACCGGTTCTAAAGAGGTGGATAGAACCCATAGAAACCCACCCCTGCCTTTCTCCCAATTTGGTGGCCTACAAATATGCTTGTATTATAACTATCAGAACTCCCTGACTGCATACATATACATATAATACTGAGATCTAACACATCAAAATGGTACCAGACTAACAGCGGTGAATTTAGTATTTAAAAAATTAGTATTTCTATTCTATAACAAACATTTGCAAAACCAGCAATTTCAGTCTATTAATTTCTTCTGTGGACTCAACTCATAGGGTCTAAGTGCATACACAAACATTTGTTTTTAGCTTGTAAACTTTCTGCAACTGGAAGAGAATATTATTTGCCAAGCAGCAAAAAAATGTAATATGCCCCTGTCTTCACTTAATAGCTATTTATACTTATATCACCATGATATCTATTATTTTCTTGCCCTGATCTAGAGGTGGATATTTTCATTTACTTGTAATTCTGATATAACATGGCCAGAGTCCTTAGTTAAAACCTCCAGTGGCACATAGAGATATCACTATATTTCCTTAACTCTGTAGCTGGATGTTAGACTGGGAATTTTGGGGCTGTTACACTCTTGAAACACTCACATAGTTCCCCATACACAATCAAGTTATCAGATCCCCATGTCAGATCCAAACCTGATAGTATGAAGAGAAAAAGAATTGTCCATGAATATGGTACAAGATAAGGATGATGGCAAAGAAAATGTCTTGAAAAATACTATTTTTGATCTCCTTGCCAATATATCAATAGCACATGGATGATTGATCCCATTCAAGTGTCTAATCTAGGCTACCTCCCACTAACTTCTGCACATGGGAAATGAACTTTAGGAAACTAAAGTTGACCAGTAATCAAAGCTTCCTGAATGATAAGAGCTAAAGTTGAGCAATGAAAAGTATGTAGTACATACTACATTCCTTATAATATTTCTTAAAAATTAGAAGTCAGAAGAAAACAAATCCAATTACAGCTTACAAACATTGTTGTTTTTCTACAGGAATTGAGCTTCATGTCATCAGTGTTCTCCTGCAACTCTATTTTTATTTCCTAGCTTTATATTACAAATAACCCAAGGCAAACATATCCAACACACATTCCTCCTCCTATTTTCCCCACAACTCTGTGAAGTGAGTTGGGCTGAGAGAGAATGATTAGCCCAAAGTCATCCAGCTGACTTTCCAGAGCGTGACTTGAACTCATGGTTTCCCACTTTCTAGACTGGCCCCTTAACTACTAAACAAAATAATAATAAATTAGAGAAAAAAATCCCAAGGTAGATGATTCCATGGCAAACAATTACTACTTTTTAAGTTCTGCCAACTAGCATTAGCCAGATTAAAAAGGGAACTTTTTAGTCGTTTTAATTAGTTTAATGTTAATGTTAATTTATACTCCTAATCCATATATGATATGCCATATGTCAGGAGCGTCAAACTCAAGACCCAAGGGCCAGATCTGGCCCATTGGATACTTAGATCTGGCCCGCAGGGCCTCCCTGGAAACAGTGAAGGACTGGCTCGCAGTGCCTCTGCCAGGGAAAAGAGTTCAGGAGGGCTCGCTGGCAGAGGGTTGCAGGAGGCCGTCACAGCCAAAAACGGAGCTCAGGAGCCTGTTTTCACTGGCAGAGCAGTCGGGCCATCATAAGCACCTGGGACACAAGTGACGTCAAACATAACCCTGATGCGGTCCTCAATGACATCAAGTTTGGCATCCCTGCCATATGCTAAATAAATAAATGAAGTCTTTTTCTTATTTCCTGTTTTACCTGAGGTTGATCAGTTGCTATATTTACATCTTTCCTAAATAATAGCCAGTTCTTTGTAGGTTTAACCTTCCTACCAGAAACCAAATCCAATCCATGTAGACAAGCATTCCAGCAAAAACAGCAAATGTAAAGTCAAACTTGGAATACAAGACAAATACACAAATATATCTGTTCCAATATTAGAAATACTTCAAATGTTATATATGTTTCTGGAAATAACACAAGCTAGGTACAATGTGCTCTTTAGGCTAAAATATTTGGACTAATGTTTCAAACCTTAAGTCTCTCTTGGGCTTGTACTGGCGTCAGGCCACTTTTCTGCACAAGAATCCAAAATACTGTATTATAGAGGTTATTGATATGACCTATAGTGATACCAAGTGAAAAAAAATAATCATTAGAGAAGATAGCAATATTTGCTATAAGATTGGTTTCAGAAATGGTATTATAATTACTACAACTATTTTTATTGGTATTTATATGTAACCTAAAACAATAACATAATTTTTTAAAATATATTTTTATAATAAATTTCTACATTGTGCAGAGGTTTGTTGGTTGTTTTTTTTTACTTTTTTCAATTTATTCGGCAAGCTATCTAGTGAGGATTCAATAAATAGAAATTTTGGGAGAAGGCATGTCATCAATTGCTAGATGCAATGGAGGGGAATAGAAGCTAATCTTGAACATCCAGCAATATTAATACCTTTGCATTTGTTGACTTGAATTATAAGGCAGTATCTGAAGCCTATTTTATAGAATTGATTAATAGGGCAGCTGCATTTTTGTTGTGAAAAATATGACCTGTGCAGATAGTGATTACCTCACCATGTGGAATATTCCAGATTCCCATTCTCTTTACTTATTTCTAAGTAAGAATACAATTTTGAGAAAATACTTAAGTACTGTAAGGAAGATGCCTCTCCTCCCCCACTTTCCATCTCTAAAGTTGTGATAGTTCAAGTGAATAAAATCAGGTACTTTTAATGGGTTTTTTTTAGCAGAAAATGAGATTCTTAAATAAATATCTTAAATATCTATTCTTAAAAATTATTGTTCTATAACCTACATTTCACTCCTGCAATACTTACAATCAGCTTGTCGCCAACTGAGATAATCTTTTAGATTTTGGTCACTGGGATACAACACAACACGTCCATCAAATCCTGGTGGATACAAAAGGGGCTTGTCCTTAAAATAATCCTTCCAATAAAAAACATAGCTGGATGCAAACTTGGCGACCACGAGAGTCATTAGTTTACTTGTGAGGAAAAAAAGGGAGAGAAAACATAACTTTTTAATATAAGCAACACAAGAGTTAACTAGCCTATATAAATACAAGAATGCATGCCTTGTTCATGATTTTAGAAATTCTTTCCAAAAATGTATACCTTATTTGTAACTTATAACTTATTCTCATAGTTTATGAATCCAAAATGTTGACAGCATAATTCTAAAACATGTAAAATTTCTCTAGAAAAGAGAAATGACTAGCTCTAATAATCCAAAGTATATGTTAAGTATAAAATCCAGATCCAACATGTTTAATTTTGTCATGTATATATTTTATGTTAGGCAAGATTGACTGTTAGTATCTATAATTCTATCACAGTAAACATAATGCAATGTAAAATGCAACTCTTATTTACATAGAAAGCATCTTATTTATATAGAAAGCATCTTTCAAAATGTCTTTTAGTCTATTACATTTAATATCTTTCTACATTTTACTATAAATGAATTGAATTGAACTGGTTGTCAAATAAAGTGCTTCAGAAATAATGTTTGATATACAAGGCTTAACTTACAGTCTGAAAGTAACACAGCAGCTCACATTGCTATAAGGCAGGGGTATCAAACTGGCGGCCCCTGGGCCAGATGCATCATGTGCAGGCCACACCCACCCCAGTTCCGCAAAGGGAAAAAACATCGTGAAATGTCACATGATGGCAACATGACGCCATGAGTTTGACACCTGTGTTATAAGGCCTCCATGTGCTAAACTATAATCCAATATTGCATAATCTCTATGCAACTGAAAGACTAATGTTAAACAATTCTATAGCTTATTAAACAAGATTATGCAATGAACAAGCATATTATGAGGCCATCAACTATTTTTGGAAGATTTCATACAGTTAAATCACTTTAAAGAGTGAAATATGTGAATGAAAGTTAAAAATACATTGCCAGTAACATTTAATGGCCACTTATCCATCAATACATACATATGCAAAGATGTCTGTGTGTGTTTGTGTATGTATCCCTTCCTCACTACATGTATTGATGTTTCTAAGAATGGAGATATATGGTAAAGCTACAAGTATCATAAAATCAAAAGTAATCAAATTGTTGTATTAAAGCTTATTTTGGAAAGAGTATCTTAACATATATTGGGAGGGAAAAAACTGCAAAAGTAACTACCTTGCCCTTCTCTTAAACAAGTTGGTTTTCTTTTTGAAAATAAAGCTGTATTCATCACTTTGTCCATAGGCAATGACAATTTCCTCCATTTCTTCCATCACTGTTTGGGCACACTTGTTCATCAAATTAAGAGCACAATCATCATTAGGTTTCTTAAAATCATGCTGCTCAGCAAAGCTTCAAAATGAAAAGCATATAATTAAAAACATTTCATTTGTCATATCTGTTTAAATAATTTCCTGTGTTACAGATACTGAAGTTTTGGTAGAAGCTATGATAGGGGCTTTTCCTACTTAGTTGCAGCCGTACCTGGAGCAATAGACCTTAGTAACAATCATTGCAGTGTGTTTTATATGAGGCTGCTTTTGAAAGTATCCTGAAGTTGGTGCAAGATGTAGTAACCTACTTGCTGGAAAATGAAAATCACAACAGCCATGGTATTGTGTTGGTTGCCCATAGGTTTCTGAGTGCAATTCAAAGTGCTATCAAGTCAAGTTTCACCCATAAAGCTCTATATGCTTTGGCTTCTAGGTACCTTTCTATCTGGAATTAACACATTTTGTGTATGCTCTCTGACATATCTGTCAATTGTCCACCATTCTTAAGAAGTTAAAAGAGCAGGTGCTTGAAGACAATATTTTTCCATTGAAGCCTCTATATTATAAGCACATCTCCTCTTAATCATATCAACATCCAATTTAATGACCTCCGGAAACCAGTACAATCAGAACTTTTCCAGAGAACATTTGGAACATAATGGTTGCATGCCATCTGTACAAATGCAACATATTATTTTTTTTAAAATAAACCATTGATAGTTCATCCAAATTATGGCAGAATAAGGATATAAAAAACATTTAGGCCGTAATCCATCTAATTTTACATAATCTGTCTTATTGTCATTACAAAGTGTTAGAAGGTAGTCATTAAAAAGCTAAACCAATGCCATTTTTACGTATTTTGCCAATAAGATATATTTTGCCAATAAGATATATCAATTAGAAAGTGAGAAATTGTTATTAGGAAAGTAAAACTTCAACATTCTAAAACTAGACATGTGCAGACTATTTACCCCTGAATATAAGACAGCTTTGTACTCCTTGTAAGAGGTTAACTGCATTTAATGCTTTTCACCTTGGATGTTAATATTCTTTTGAATTCTGGATAATGGCATCTGTTTTGACCCGAGCAAGGAACAACTACAGAGAAAGGATTCTTCTCCAAAATTACAAATGTAATTAAAAGAAAAGAATATTTGTTAAGATTTGATTCATGCTTCTATCTCCAATGAGATCAGTTTGGGTATTGAACATGCATGCAAGCACATAGTACCCCCCAAATTTGCAGCATTTGCCAAACTTGGCAACTTTCAAATGTGTGAACTTCAATTCCCAGAATCCCCAGCAATGCCCGGATGAACAGATGGATTCTGGGAACAAGAGTCCATCATCTGGTAGCTGCCAACGGCTGGGAAACGGTATCCCAAAGTGAAGCCAGGGAAGCCAAACGGCCCACAGAGCTAACCAGATTTCATTTTGAACTGGCGCCGACGATCCCGGAGCTGACCCTCGCTCCTATTGGTCGGCCGGTCGCCGGGCAACCAAGCCTGTTAACTCCACACGCTGCCGCCAATGATTGAAGCGTGTCTTTACCGGTGGAAGCAGCGTCCATCCAACCGTACGACGATCCAGCAGTTGGGCAAACATTTATCCTCCGTTTCGAAATCCCGGACGTATTCGAATTTGCTCTTCGCCATGGCGGCTCGGGCATAACGACGAAAACTTGATTTAAGGCCTAAAGCGATGGCAGCCAAAGCGCCGCCAAGCCGAGGCTGCGGTAGCATTGCCGGAAGGAGCGCTGGGAGACACCGGAAGAGACTGGACTCTAACGCCGCCTCTCTATGATCCTGTAAGATCGGCCGGAATCATTACCGGCCCTCTGCCTCTTCCAGGCCAACGTAGGGGCGCCCGAGTACATGCAGAAAGACTTGAGGCTGAGACCCGCCTTGTCGGATCGCGAGTCTCCTCATCTCCCCCCACCATGTGCGTAGACTTGTGGTTCCTCAGTGGGGTGTGGAGAGAGGAGCAGATCTGGTGGTGGTTGTTTTTTTTTAAATCGCAAACCAACTCGCTCGATGGTAAACGGGAGCGAGGCCCGAACTCGTCCCTCGGCAAAAAAAAAAAAAAAGCGGCGCCACCGACGTAAGGGTCGTGCGCCTGTTCCTCCCCTTGGTATCCAAGGGAGACCTCATTGTTACGTGGTGGCGCCTAGGGTAGCCATGGCAACCTCCGGGCAACAGTCCAAGGAGGGAAAAGTGAGGAGGCACGTGGAGCCCCACAAATTGCCATTTCTTGGCCGACGTGCTGCAGGCGCGAGGCCCTCGCGAGCCAGAGGGCGGGGTCGAGAGCGGGCGCGTGCACCTTGGAGTTGGGCGAGGGAGGGGGAGCGGAGAACGTTTGCAAGCCAACCGCAGCAAACAAACGGGCGGTAACAGAGGACCGGGCTGAGCTCACAATCCCGTAACAATCCTCCTATCAAAGGCGGGCTGCGGCATGGAGAAAGGGGCGCAGGAGGAAGCCCCAAGAGAGCAGCACCGGCTCCTGCATTCCACGGCTTGGCAGAGCACTGCCTGCATGGACCATCTTCTCCTGCACCCTCTGCCAGGCCAGGGGGGCAGGGACCCGCACCTTCTGCTATTCCCTCCCAAACAGGCTCCCCAGCACCATCTCCTGCGCCCCCTTTCTCCCAAACAAAGCGTTTTGCACAAGGAACAGAAACTTCCACAGCCTGGGGAAGCGGGGGTCTTTAAAGAGCAGCAACATGTTTTGGAAGAGCAGATTTGCCGTGGCAGGCAGCTTTCCCAGCCTGTCCTTGAGATGGAAACCGAAGCCTGTGAAAAGCAGGAAGAGGAGGAAGAAAACGGGCACCAGAAAGGGTTACAAGTGAAAGCGGAGGAGCACGAGCCAGAGAACCCATTGCTCTTTATGGGAAGTAGCAACAAGAAAAAAAGACGAGAGCCTAAAACCCTTACAAACCGTCTCAGCGGCAAAGATGAAAGTAGTAGCAGTGTGAAAAGCGTAGTAGGGGAAGTCAAACTGGGGAAAGTTGAAGAGACTGAGGAGATCAACAAAGAGGCAAAGTTGAAAGAAAACTGCGATGATGCCGAAGTATTGGGATCTGCAAAAGAAGGGACCATCAAAACCGAACTGGTAGAGCCTCTGGAAGAGGATTGCAAAGGGAGGGAAGAGGCGGCATCCAAGCCTCCACCATCTGCCAGTGGTCCCGCTCATGTTAGCCAGGATGTTAGTTTGTCTCAACCTCTAGGAACACAGCATTCTCAAGAACTGAAGATTCCTGTTACACTCCATCCAGTCCCTCCAGGGACTAGGATCCAGTTTCAGGGACCACCTCCATCTGAGCTTATAAGAGTGACTAAAGTGCCAGTGACACAAGTGCCCCTTAAAATGCAGTCCTTGTTGGAGCCTTCAGTCAAAATTGAAACTAAAGATGTTCCTCTCACAGTGTTACCCTCAGATGCAGGTATTAAAAATTAGTCAGAATTTATCATACTAACCATAACTTGTTATATGTAAACACTGGATAGTACAATAAGAGTTCCACTGTTATTTCAAGGTATAAGAGTGTACTCCACCCCTCAAACTTTGAGTCAGCAATTCATATACAATAGTGCATATTCCAGTGCATGAAACCTATAAGTACATAGGGATTATACTCCTCAAATTGTTTTACAAGTTGGTGTTAAGGTGCTGGCCTAGAAACCAGGAGATTGAGTTCTAGTCCCACTTTAGGTACAAAAGCTAACTGAGAGGACTTGGGCTAGTCATTCTCCCTTACAGAGTTGTGAAGAAAATAAGGAAGGAGTATTATGTATGTTTGCTGCCTTGAATTATTTATCCAATAATAAATGTGGGATAAAATATCTGTTCGACAGAGGTGAAGAATACTAAACCAGCTTAAAATGTAATAGGCCTGTGTGATGCTTCAAATTTGATTCCAAAAGATGCAGCTGCTTTAAAAAGCTGAATAGTGCTGTTTTTGTGCTCACATATGTCTTTGAAATTGAATTAAAAAATGCAGCACAGGGATTTAATTTCACAGAGTAAAACATATTACCAATTTATAAAACCCTATGTTACAATAAAAAAGTTAGGCTTTTAATTATTAAATTTGTATAGCCACCCATATCTCAAATGTGATTCTGGGCAGTATATACAATAAAATCAGAATGATAAAAAAATATCTGAAATAACAAAATAAACCAGAGGTCTCCAACTCCTGGGCCACAGCCCACAACCAGGCTGCAGCCTGTTTGAAAGGGTAACCCTATGTAGAATGCATTATAGTAGTCTGTGAGTAGGAAAGGTGACCTGACCACAGATAATTGTGATCAAGGAAGTGGTACAATTAGGAATAAAAAAATTAAGTTATTTGCTATCTGTTTAGGAGGAGCTAGAATAACCAATAGTCCTCCATTTTATTCTCACAATCCCATAAAAGAAATTAGGTTGAACAAGGAGCAGGTAATGGGTCATTCAGTGAACGTCATAGTTAATTATGAATATAGTTCATTCTGTTAGACATCTCACATTCTAATATCTGTATAAATATACTCGTTTGGTATCAAAAGGCAGAGGTTTTATTATTCTCCTAAGATATCTCTTCAATTTTATTTAAAAATACATATGTCTATGTCAACTGAATTTGTCTAGATTGCTAATAAAACGCCTTTTCAATGATACATAGATGGAATCCTCAATTATTTACTGTAACATGATAGTGGAAATAGTGAGGAAGTTAAAATCAATCTTGTGAATTATTGTTCATGGTCAATGAGAAAGAAGAAAACTATTTCCTGACTTCAACTTTATGTTTTCTTTTGGGGGGATAGGCAGTGTTTATCATAGATTAACAGGAGACAGAAATATTCTGTCTTCCACCACTAAAGCCATTTATTTATACTGTGTATAATTCTATATATATATATATAGATTCAGATAATTAAATGTTGGTTACTGTGCTTTTGGTACTAATTTCTTGAAGGCAATTCCACAGTTCAGAGATGTTGATAGGATTTGAATAAATATAATTAAGGTTAGAATTTCACAACAGCTATATGTTGATTACATGAGTGTCCGTAAGAGGTGTTTTTTTTAAGCTGTTCATTTCACAAGTGTATTACAGTATAACATGAGCAAGATAAAACAGTATAGAGCTACATGAATATGAATAGACTGTCCTATTTAGTTAGGGAACAAAGGAGGAAAAATTCCTGTTTGTAATATTTATTTATATTGCCGCCTATTCATCCAGGGCGACTCAAGACAGCTTACATGATGTAAAACCATATTTAAAACAAAAAAAATAATAAAAACTAACAAAAAGAATTAAATAAATTAATAAAGTACAATAGAACAAAATCTGAGGAAAAATAATAAAAAATAAAAAATCACCCCCCAACTCTCACCCCCCCATCCCGACGACAGCAGATCACACTAGCCATTTGATGGGTTCCATCCAACTCTGGGTTCCCCAGGCCCATTGGCAAAACTAGGTCTTCAGTGCCTTTTGAAAGTGTGCTAGAATGGACGCCGTTCTAATCTCGGGGGGAATTATATTCTAGAGAGAGCGAGCCACCACAGAGAAGGCCCTCCTTCTGGGGTCCCACCAGGTGTATCTCCCTCAGGAATGGGACCCGCAACATTCTCTGCCTCCCCGCTCTAATGGGTCAGGTAGATGTGACCAGCAAGAGATGTTCCCTCAGATAACCCAGTCTCAAGCCATGAAGGGCTTTAATAAAGGTGACAACCAGCACTTTGAATTGCACCTGGAAGCAAATTGGCAACCAATGCAGCTCCTGCAGGAGAGGTGGCACATGTGCACACTGGTATCTGCACAAAACCATGCGGGGCGCTGCATTTTGCACCAACTGGAGCTTCTGGATGCTCTGCAAGGGCAGCCCCATGTAGAGCATGCTGCAATAATCAAGACAGGAAGTGTCCAGGGACCGTTGCTCCAGGAAAGGGCGTAACTGGTGCACAACTCGCAGTTGCACAAAGGCTCTCCTGGCCATGACTGCCACCTGCTCTTCGAGCAGGAGTCATGAGTCCAGGAAAACCCCGAGATTACGCACAGGGTCTGTTTGGGCTGGTGTCACCCCATCCAAGACCAAAGGTGGCAATTCTCCCTGAGCCAACAAACCCCAAACCCAGAGCCACTTGGTCTTGCAAGGGTTTAGTTTCAACCCATTGCTCCCCATCCAGCCCCTAAAAGCCTCCAGGCACTGCGAGAGGGAGGACACGGCAACACTTAACTCACCACGGGCTGAGACATACAGCTGAGTAACATCAGCATATTGGTGACACCTCAGTCCATGGTGATGGATGATCTTACCCAGCAGCTTCATATAAATGTTGAACAGGAGCGGAGAGAATACCGAGCCCTGTGGAACCCCGTAAATATGATGAGGCAATATTCTCCTAATGGAAATCCTGATTTTCAGTTTTACTCATATGTGAAAAGTTAAACACTTAAACTTCCACATGGTCAATCACAAAAAAGGAACATTTTTACACAAAGTTGCAAAGAAAAACTGGCTGCCATTGAAAGCGATCCAGTATTAGTTTTTTATATTAATCTTCCTGGATCTTTTTCAGACTCAAACACCCCAAATGTAATCATCTTATTAGCAAGTAAATAAACCTACTCTTGAAAATATTTTTAAAATTACTCTATTTGGAAAAGACATGTTTATAAAAAGCATTTTTTTATCTCAGTGGTAGAGTATATGTGTTTTTATATGCTAAAGATCCATTTCTGGCAATTTTTTGTGGAAAGTCTGCTTCCTGAATTTCTGAAGTACTATCTGTAACTCAGTGTAGCCAGATAATATA